AACAATCTTTACCAACAGCCCATCCCAACGTCCTCATACTCCAGGACATCCCCTTCCTTTTCAACAGCCCAGACCTTAAGACGTCCAACAGTATCAGAACCCTTTCTTGCAAGTCTTTGGCTGGCTTCACATCTAGTGGTACCTGTGACCATCAGCATATCCAAGATGGTATCTGTGACCCAGCTTCCTGCTATCATCATGGTGGCCCTGGTTCTTCATGGATGCATTTTTAGAGGTCCAAGTTTGGGTGAAGGAAAGGGGTTCGAAGCTGGGTTAGGACAGAGAAAGGCTAAGAGAGATATTTGCATTCAGAGAAGGACATTATTATCCTGGCTAGAGTGTGACCACAGGGCACCTGGGCAGCAGGAGGTTAGCAGGTAGCCATCCACTCATAGTAGAGCCCCCTCTTTTTCAATGTATCACAGATTCTACTACTGTTTCTCCTGCCTGTCCATGTTAATGTGCTTTCTACATGTCCTTAAAATTCTTTTTTTTTTCCAAAATTCATACTATTTCTTCTCTTGTTCCTCTCTCCTTTTCTTCTCTCCTCTTCCTTTTTTCCTTCCCTTTCCTTTCTTTGTTCTTCCCTTCCCTTTCTTTATCTTTCTTTCTGACAGTGGCTTGAACTTCTGGGCTCAGGTGAGCCTCTCATCTCAGCCTCCCAGGTACTGTAGCTGGCACTACAGGTGCATGGTACCAGGCCTGGATGAAATGCATGCTATTATTTGGTGAATGTGATGTTAATTTATGTATTATGTTGGCCAGATTTCCATTACTATGTTCAACACCTGGGGTAAGAAAAAGTTTATTATGACTCAGTTTTACAAGTTTCAGCCCATTGCTTCTGGGTCTGTAGCTGCAGATCATGGTAGAAACATATGGGAAAGCACAACTGCTTACCCTGTGGCCAGGAGTTCAATGAAAGAGGAAGGAACCAGAGTCCCACAATTTCTTCAAGGACTTGGTCCCAATGACATGAAGACTTCGTTCCTCCCACTAGGCTTTGCCACCTTCTGATAGTGCCACCCATGGGACCAAGATTTTGCCCTCATGGACCTTTGGGGGACACTTAAGATCCAAACTGTAGGACAGGGCAGGGATATAACTCAGCGGTACAGCACCTGCCTGTCAAGCGCAAGATCCTGAGTTCAATTCCTGGTACCCAAAACAAAGCAAAAAAACTGGAGCACACAGAGTGATATAAAGCTAATTTCATCCTTCCTACCTTCCTTTATTCCCTTCATCCTTTGTCTTTTTTGTTGTTTGTTTTCAGGATTAGGACTGAACCCAGGGAGAGCTGAGCTATATTCCTACTACTTTTATTTCCAGACAGGGTCTCATTAAGTTGCCCAGGTTGGCCTCAAACTTGTGACATTCCTGTTTCGCCTCCTGAGCAGCTGGTATTATAGTTGTGCACCACCACAGCTAGTTTTGTTTACTTTTTTATACAATCCAGGTCTCTGTATATCTAGTTCATTGTCTCTAATCGCTATGTAATATGTATTTCAGGTTGCCTCCTTGCCTTTTATTTACCTATTTATTGCCTGTCTTGGTTACTTTTCTCTTGTTGCTGGGACCAAATACCCAGTGCCCCAAATTAAGGAAGGAAATGTTTCTTTAGCTCACAGTTTGTGGAGGTTTCAGTCCATACTCAGCTGGCTCCAGGGCAGACTGGCACGTGGCAGAGGGGAGCAGTTTATGGCAGCAAAAAACAGCAAGAGCAAAAGGGAGGAGTAGCAAGAGCAAGTCTCTTCCTTATGTTGCATTCAGGCTATCCGCCCCAGGCTAGGTGTAGCACTCACACACATAATCCCAGTGCTGGATCATGAATTAATCACAAACTCTAGAAGCCTGCCCCATAACTGCGTGAGGCTTTGGGGGGACACTGCTCCTAAGTTGTCTCTTAGTCTCCACTGTTTCAACATCCCTAACCATTTTTTTTTTTTTTACATTTTTTTTTATTTTGAGATAAGGTGGACACCTATTATCCTTGGCCCAGGCTCTGGGTAGTGCTGCATGTAGATGATGCACAGGGCCATCTCCCAGGGTGTAGATATGAACATACAGTGCCCCCGGATACTGCACCTCAACGGCAAAGTTTTGGATCCTCTTGACAGGGCCACAGGATGACAACAGAAAACCGGGCATGGCTGCATATGCCTGTAGTCCCTCTAGAAGCGTTACTGAGTTCAGAGGGCAGAAGGGTTCCTGAGTTCAAAGCCAGCCTAGGCTACATTCACAATTTGAGGCTAGCCTCAACAATCTAGCAAGGCTACGTCTCAAAAAACTTTTTAAAAAATGACAACAGAAAAAGAATGCACTAGATTCAGCAACAAGTGAGCCAAACAAGACAGTTGCCATGGAATCAATGGGTAAAGAGAGAATGATAGTTAAAAAAAGATTATGTTGAGTTGCAGGCAAGAATTCTGAGAGCTCTTGGGAGGGGGAATGAAATTTGAGGTCGGAAGGGAAAGCTGGAATTAAAGAAGCCCTTTGTTTTTTTATCGGAACACCAGGGAATGTTTGTATTGTCTTTGAAATGACTCAACAAAGATGGCTAGATTGCTGATAGAGGGGATGCAAGTGGGTTCTTTTTCCCTAGGAACAGTGAAATACCACTTGCATCACTCCAGAGAGAGGGTACAAGATGGGGGGTGGCTGAATCTATAGTTTGGCTGATAAGAGTTTTGGTTTCAGTTGGGCATGGTGGTACATACCTAGGCTGAGGCAGGAGGATCACAAATTTAAGCCCAGACTTGACAACTTAATGAGCCTCTTTTTTTCCCCCTTTAAAAAATTTTTTTTTATTTGTACATGTTTGTAGTACATACTAGTTACATTCATTGTGGGGAACTGGTATATGTACATAATACATCTCAGTTCATCCCCTCCACTTTTCTATCCTTTTTTCTTTTCTTTGCCAGAATCAGATTTCTTTTTAAGTCTCTATCAAAATAATTAAAAACACAGATTGGATTTTCTTTTTTTCTTTTTTTTTTTTTTTTGTGGAACCAGGGATTGAACTCAGGTCCTTGTGCTTGTCAGGGTAGCGCTTATTCTACTGAGCCATCTCCCTGGCCCCTGGATTTTATTTTAGAGACAAGGTCTCACTGTATAGCTCAGGCAAGCCTAGAACTCACTATGGAGCCTAGGCTGACCTAGAACTCGAAATTATCCTCCTGCCTCAGTCTCCCAAGTTCTGGAACCACAGGTGCGCACCACCACACTTGGCTAAAAACACTAGACTGACAGGCCAACATACATATAAAACCCATGAAGCAATTATACTAAATCATGTGTCACTTTTTGACACATTGACCATGCTGGATAACTGTAACTTTATCTTCTCTTTTATTTTACATTTTATTTACATAGTGGTTTTCTCATACTTAAGAGAAACCATGTGATATTTAAGCTTGTGGGTCTAATTTACATTATGGTCTCAAGGTGCACCCATTTTCGTATAAATGACTCAAATTTATCTCTTTATGGCATCGTGTATTAATACCACATTTTTATCCATTCATCTGCTGGTGGACATTTATGGTGTTTCCAAGATTTTGTTATTAAGAATTGTGCTGCTATAAACATAAGCATGCATATATCACTCTAATACCAGTATTTAATTCTTTTAGAAAGATACTAGAAGGGGAATAACTGGGTTAAATGGAACTTCTAGTTTTTTGAGAAATTTTCATACTAATTTCCATAGTGGTTGTACTAGTCAACATTCCCACCAACAGTGGAGAACTCCTCCTCCTCTGACCCACGCGAGACCCCATTTGAAGTGTGGGAGGGTCCTGGGGGATGTAGCTTAGTGTAAAGGCCCTGGGTTCAGCCACAGTACAGACATTTTTTTTTAAAAGTTTTATTTTGGGGCCGGGGAGATGGCTCAGTAGGATAAGCGCTTGACTGGCAAACGCAAGGATCTGAGTTCAATCCCCGGTTCCGCCAAAAAAAAAAAAAGTTTTATTTTTTTGTCAAGAGAGGCCTAAGAAGTAATATGGTGGCCCCTTCAAGAAAGTGGGAGATGAACCCTCATGGAGAAAACAGAGGCTGGTTGGCAGTGTGAAGGGCTCATTTTAGGTTTTTGCTCTGGTGTTCAAATGGAAACCTCTCAGTCGGGTGGTGGATTCTCCAGTGCCCAAGGAGAAGGGTGGGGTCCATCCAGGCTGGGTTTCCTCAGGTGCCACAATGCTGAGATGGGGTGACAAAACAGAAACACTTATCCATGTGCATAAGGCTGCAGTGTGAGGTGACTTAAGAGGCGAAAAGCAAAATGTGAGTCCCATGGGGACCCACGGGGCAGAAGCACGCAGTGGTCGTTGAGTCTGGCACTGACCCTGCTGTACCTGTCTTGGGAAGGCTTGGGACCTTTTGTCTCCGTTTCGCTGCAAATGCAGGCAAGTGCAACTTTTAGAAATGAGAGTAGCATTAGTAAGGCTGGAGCTGAGGTACCAGGAGAAAAGATGTTTAAAAGAAAATGACAAAGAAATGGGGGTACCTGCCTGTAATCCCAGCTACGTGGGTGGTGGAAGGCAAGAGGATCGCAAGTTAGAAGCGAGCCTGGAGAATTTAGTGAGATTCTGTTTCAAAACTGAAAAATAAAAAGAAGGCATGGGGATATAGTTCAAATAAGGAGTCAGAGACAGATATCTTTCCAGGAATCCCAGATGCAGGAAGCCTACATGGCTGAACAGGACAAATGGCACCAAATGCAAACCAGGACACGCCTGCGGTTACACGCACCACGCAGGGAGAAGAAAGACGCCTAGCACTGCAGGGCAGGTGTGCTCAGGTAAGCCCTGGTGTAACCCGCACGGCTCCGCGCCAGTCCGGGCAGGAGCGGGGCGGGGCACTCCGGGCTCCCGGCGTGCCGCGCGGCGGCGTCGACGCGCTGAGGCCGGGTGCTAGCGCCCTCTGGCGACGGCTTCGGAGAAGCGGGGGCGGAGCCGGAGGCGGGGGGTTGCGCTTGGTGACGGGGGACGCGCGGCCGCCGCGCACAGGGCCGGTGGCGGCGGCGGAGGACGCGAACCGCGGGCTGCGGAGCCAGCAGCGGCCAGGGAGCCGCGGGCAGCTTGGGCTCGGCTGGGGCCGGGATGAGGGGCTGCAGCGGCGCGGGATGAGGGTGAGAGCGCGGGCGGCGGTGGAGGCGGCAGCTTGGGCTGGGAAGATGGCGGAGAGGCCGCGCTGCGGGCCCGCGGCCCGCCCGACCCCGCGGAGGCCCCCGCCCTGGCCGCGCGAGGAGTCCGGGCCGGCAGAGACCGCGGAGGCGGGAGGGTGGTGTGAGCCCGTTGTTCTTGTACCTGGTCGAAGGTGGGTGCGCATGTGAGTGTGCTCGGCCGGAGGGCGGACGCCGCAATGTGAGGGCCTGATTGTGCCCGGCCTGTGGGTGGGCGTGAGTTCATGTGAGACCTTGTCCAAGTATAGTTGTGAGTGTGAAAATAAACCGTGTGAGGATGGTTGTGGTTGTGTGTGCCCGGCCTGAGCTTGGGTGTGTGTGGGTGTCCAGCCTTGGACAGGTGTGCGTGTGAGTGCCCCTGCATGAGGACCGATGTGGCTGCTCGCGTGCCCGCCCGAGGACAGGTGTGAGCGCGGGTGTGCCCGCCCGAGGACAGGTGTGTGAGTGCCCCTGCCCGGGAACAGGTGTAGCACGCGTGTGCCTGCCCGAGGGCAGGTGTGAACGCGTGTGCCCGCCCGGGGACAGGTGTGTGTGTGCCCTTGCGGCGCAGAGCCCCGTCCCATCCCGGGGTGCGGCAGGGTTGGGAACAAGTGGGATCCTCCAGGCGCCCCGGGGCGGGCTTTGTGCGCCGGGCGCAGGGGTCGTGGGCGTCTCCATGCCCCGGCATGGCTGCCTGCTTGAAGCTCCCCGGCCTCTGCGGCAGGCTCTGCTGGCCCTCCCAAGTACCCCCAGGGCCTCCCGGTACCGGGGCCGTGCACCGCGCATGAGTGTCTTTATTTTAAAGCGTGCGGCCGTCTCGGGCGCGGCAGCTGTGGGTGTGTTCGGTTCTGCTGCTCGCTGCAGCTGCTGTGGGCGCTGCGCAGCTTCAGCGGCAAAAAATGCGGCTGGGCCCCCTCCCCCTTCAGTGTGCGCGGGTTTGGCCGAGCCTTCAGTGACCTCTGCAGAAAAACCTACAGTTGCAAGGCTCAGTTCCTCCCCCGGTGCAGACAATACAAACGTTTGTCTTTGAGAGCTAGGGAGGGGAATTGAGCACTGCGTCCTGGGTACCAGCTGTAAACAGCAGGTGGTTCCCACCGCGGCTCACCTTTCACAGTGAGCAAGGGGCGGGGAGGTGTGAGGTGTGACCGCCATCCTGGGCTGGGCCTGGGGGCCCTGCATGCACGAGGGAATGGAGAAGGTAGCCAGGAGGAGCGGTGTGGACAACAGAGCAGGTTCTGGAGCCACGCTGACGGCCTTTGAGTAGTGACTCTTTTATTTATTAGCTTTGTGGTCCTAACAAGGGCTCTGTGCCTTTGTTTCCCTGGCTGTAAAATGGGTACACTAATGTCTTGGCTCAAGAAGGTTGTTGTGAGGACTCAGTGAACTAAGACTTGTAAAACACGTTGTGCCTGGCACATTGTGAGTGTTTCTAAAAGTTAGAAATTGTTCATACTGCCAAGATTCTGGCCTGGCAGGGTTAGCTGTGGGTTGGCTTGAGTATTGTGAGGTTAGCTGTGGGTTGGCCTTGGTGCTATGGCATTAGCTGTGGGTTGCTGTGGGTGTTATAGGCTTAGCTGTGGGTTGGATTGGATGCTGTGGGGTGCATATGGTGGGTCATGGGCTTTTCAGTTGACCACCAACACTGCCCTTATAGTATTACACAAGCCTGAAGTTTGTGACTTTTGTTTCTTACACAAGCAAGCTGAGGCTGTATTATAAAGAAACAGATTTTTTTAAAAAAAATGTTTTTAATGTATTTGGTACAGGGTCTCACTACGCAGCTCAGACTTGTAGTGATTAACCTGTTTTCAGCTTCCCCAGTGCTGGACTTACAGGTGTGCGCCACCACACTGCCTCACTGACTCAGCACGCCCTAGGGGTGGGGCCGGCACAGCTTGTGTGACTGGGGATCAAACCTTGGTCCTTGCATTTGCCAAAGCAGGCACTTAGTCCTTGAGCTATCTCATAGGCTCAAAGAAACAGATATTGATAAAGGTAAAAGAACAAATCTCATACATAAATAATTGTATAGAACTGTTTTTAAAATCATTTTTGGGGAAAGAAAACTTCTAATGAACCACTTTACAATACCATGTACTTAGCATCCTTGAGTTAGATAGGGTTACTGTTGGCAGAAATGAGAGGCAAGCAGTTGCTGGGTAGTGCCCTTCTTCATTTGAGGCAAACCTCCAAAGCTATTATATTTATTGTTATTTTATAGCAGGAAAGGTGACTTGTTAAAATATATTTTAAATGAAGGTAAGGACATAAGGAACAGAAAGTGAAAACTTAGTCCTAGTACTCTGGGAGACTGAGGCAGGAGGATTAATAATTTTAAACCAGTTTGGGCATGTTATCCTGGAATGAGACCTTGTCTCTCTCTCTGTCTCTCTATCTCTGTCTCTGTCTTTGTCTTTGTCTCTGTCTCTCACACACACCTGTTTGGGATTAGCTCAGTGTGAAAATGTAATTTTTCATCTCCTTTACACTATATAACACAAAATTTAGGGGGAACCTCTACCATTTAAGTAGTCTCTTATAATTTGTAACATAGAGGGCAAGAATGTTTAAGATTTGTAAAAAGTGGAAATAAAGATTTTAAAATGCCTATCCTGTCTCTGTCCTACATGTGTGCTAGGGTGGAAGGCTATGGATTAGGAGCTGCACGCTCCATGGACATTCAGCACCAGTGCAGTGCAGCCTCTTGTTAAGTTTCTTCTTGGTTCATTGAAAAGGCACATGAGCTATGTTCCTGTACTGAGATAGCTAGTCTTACTAGCAAGACCCTCATCTGTGTAGGATCTTACATGTTTTCTGTCACAGTTGGCTTTGTGGGTATTGCATAAGGAGGCCACCACGCTTCACTCAGTAGAGCAGACTGGGTGTGCAGCTGCTGCGTGCGGAGCTAGACTGGGCTGACTGTTGAACACTGGTCTCTTTGCCCATTGTGCTATTCTTACCTCCCCAAGGAGATGCTTTACTCTCAGGTGTTGGCCACCTGTAGGCCTCTGTACCCACCTCATTGTGTCTTTCATTGACCTTTTCGAGTTGCACCCATATTTGTGTAATTGGTCTCCATGTGCCTTATGATCAAGTCTGACTGAGTTTGGTCATGTGGCTACTGTCTCAACTCTGCTTGGACATTCTCCCTACCTCACCTGCCACACTGCTTCGGAAATGCCCTTTTGTGCTGTGCTCAGAACCTCAGATCCCTGTGGCAGGGATTTTTTTGGGCGATTTTCCTAAATGTGAAGGGTCAACAGTGTCTGCCATCCTATCAACCCCTAAAATGTGACAGTGATATAAGAGAACTTTATTGTGACTGCCTGAATTTGTGATCTCGCGGTGGAACTTGTGCTGGTCTTTGACAGCATGTGTTCTGAGAAGAGCTTGGCAGCCCTTTTTGCCTTGCTAGGTGGAGGGGTTTTTTCCCCTTCAACTTTTTTTTTTTTTTGGTGGTACTGGGAATTGAACTCAGGACCTTGTGCTTGCCCAGCAGTTGCTCATTCTACTGAGCTATCTCCCTGGCCTCCCCCACTTCAACTTTTGCTACAGCTTTTCCCTACTTTTATTTTCTAAAAGTCCCTGGAATTATGTGGCAAAATCATGCTATTTATCATTAAAAATACTTTTAAGCCTCTATACAAGTGTTTACCAAGTATTGTTTGTACTTTTTAAAATTAAACAGCTAATCTCCACTCAGTTATTTGTGCAAGTGATACAGTGTCACAAATGTGGGTCTTGGAAAGGATCTTTTGTAATGCATAACTGTATTTCTGTGACTACTGGCCATACTAGTTCATATTAGGGGTTAGTAAGTACGTGCAGACCTCCTTGCCTGTTTTTGTCTATGAAGTTGTATTGGAACACAGCCACATTTGTTCATTTTTGTATTGTCTGTGGTGCCAGCAGCACAAGTGCCTGCCTGACAAGTGCAAGGTCCTGAGTTCGATTCCTGGTACCCCCCCCTCCCAAAAAATCTGTATATTGTCTGTGGTTGCTTTGGCAGAATTGTGATAGGCTTTGTAGCTTGCCAAGCCTAAACTCTTTTTTTTTTTTTTTTTAATGTGTGTATGTGTGGGGGGGGCACCTCAGCCCACCAGGGGGCGGGCTGGCTGGCATGTGGTGCTGGGGGATTGAACCCTGGTCCCTGTGCTTTGCTAAGCTTGTTCTAAGTAGGTGCTTTAGACCACTGAGCCATCTCACCAGCCCCCTAAACTCTTTACTGTCTGCCCCCTTTATGGAATAAGTGTGCTCTAGAAGTTTTGAGGGAAAATGATTGCGGGTACAGTGATGAAAAGGTGTTCTATGAGGTAACCTTGCCTCGCCTCAGGTGAGTGAGCACAGGGTGAGGACTTGGAGTAGCACAGATAGAAAATGTTTCCCATGTGGGAGCAGAGGCAGGAAAATGGGTTGTATGTGCTTTGTGTGGGTTTTAAGTTTGTGTAAGGAATAATGGGAAATGAGGGTGGTAACAGGAAGGTCTTTGAAGTCAGGGTCAAGACTTCAAATTTTAATTTTTTCGTTAACAGGGAACCACCGCAGGTGTGTATGAGCAGGCTCTGCCCTGATCAGCAGTGACTAGTAGGAGGGACTGAAGAGAAAGAAACTCAGATTGAGGTTTTGGGTAACAGCTTTTCTCTGGGGAGGTTTTTGTTATGCATAGCTGTAGCTTCACCAACAGGGGCTTATTTCCTTCTCATGTTTTATTCACTTGTGACCTTTTTGAGACCCAGGACTAGTACTTATTTGGGACATACTGTTTTTATGGTAAGAGGATGGCAGAAATTCAGTGTCTCTTCAGGCTTCATTGTGGCCTAGTGGCTCAGCTTCCATGGGCAGGGTAGAATGTACAGCTCTTGTGTAGGCAGAAATGAATGCATATTGGAGGCAGTACTTGACCCCCAGAAAGTGAATGAGTAGGCTCCTTGTTTTCTGGGTGGTGCCAGGTAGGTGGTGTGGTGCTA